AAAGCATTTTCTCTTTTACATCGGGATTTTTACAAAGGTAGTACGTTATGAAACAGAATGTGTCCGCAGTCTGAATTACAGCAAAACAGGATTAAATATGAGTCATTAATAATGAATATTATGTCTTAGAGAGAAAGGTAATACTCACAGTATCTGATCCACCCAAAAAGACATCCAGTAAATTCATTCTTATTTCTTTATCAGTCATAGGTCTAATGTTCTCGCCTTTGATAGAATTTTCTGTTGTAATTAAGGAAGTAAGCATATCTGTCTTCGTTCTTGTTTCTGGGATTTCTTCGATTTCGGCCCTTCTATTTTTAATCATATTATCCAATTTGTTGTATATGTAATCACGGTTTTTTAAATAAGAATCCGATTTGCCTTTGTATATCGGAACGTAATGCCTGGTAAAGGAGCTAAAGAACGAGAAAAACAGGAGGCTTTCAAGAAACATTACGAGTGCTTTGACAAATTCATTTCCATCTTCTACTAACGCATTAGAGAGTTTGGATTTATTGATGCTCAATGTGTTATAATAGGAAGTGATTGAATACGTGCGTTTTCCAGTAGCAAGTATTGAAGTAACATCATTAGTGAATGCGTGAAACCATGCTGAAAAATCTGTTTCTAATGTCCAGTTATTATTCTTCGTACCCTTTGAAGCATTTTGTTTTCCAAGTGACTGCCAATATCCGCTCATTTCTTCATAAATTTGATTTATAGGTGTCATGGATGCATCAATAAATTTAGTCGATAATGCCTCAGTAAAGAAACTTTTATTATGACTCCAACTTTCGTTAGTTTCGTTGAAAAAAAGTCCATGGTTGCTCATTCCCAATTCAGTTGCACCTGGAGAATTTGGAAGTCTCTTGTAAAATTGCGCAGGAGCACAAAGTTTTTTAATATAATCTGGCTGTGAAACAATAATATATCTACGATCGAGCATCACTTCACAAATATCTCCGTATTTTTGTCGACACTGTTCATAAAATTCTTCCAAATCGGGCCCATAGCTAAGACCGCCTCCGAAATATGGTAAAGGAAATGGACCGGGGAGCGGATTGGGACGAGTATAGTATTTATAATAAAAGCGAAAGATATAGGTAGCGACACAAGTACCAAAGATTAAAATGAACAAATCTACTGTATTAGCGGATCTCACGGAATCGATAATATTTTGAATAGACATTCTTTTTTTTTGGGTGTGTGTGTGTTCGCAACCGAAGATTCACCGTCCTTTTATAATGAATTTTGCATTTCGTTTATGCGAGGGAGGAATTACGAACGTGAAGTCATTACTTGTTTGTAATAATATAAAAGGTTACGCCAAACCGGTTTTTGGTGATGAAAAAAAAAAGGTTCTGGTCACCTTAAAGTTCAGGAAGACATGTACAGTATATTTATTTTCTTATCTTGTCAAAATGTGCACAATGTATGATTTACAAGTCCCCGGGTGTGTATTATTTTATTTAACCTTACGTGGCTCGATGTCTCATGATGCATGGAAAAAGAATCGCTAGAACAAAGTATTTTGTCCAATTCGAACATGCCTCGACTTTTATCGTCGACACTCCTCTTTTGGTGTAAGAGCTTACGTTGTCGTTTAAATTTAACCTTTCTTACTACTCGCGTTTTCTTTTTCCGGTTATTTGTAGACGTGGATAATGAAACAAAGGGATGTGAACAATGCATGAAAATTTTTTCTTACAAAGAATTTAGTGTCGTCAAAAGTGCCACCGCGCGCGCCTATAACTTTCGATAAAATCGCATACAAATCGTACTAACCTTTTTAGGGTATGCTCAATAGCAAAAGGAATGCAGGTGAATTTGCATTGAAAATTTCCGAACATTAAAAATGTGACACCACAATGGGACCAATAAACAAGCGATCGTAATTGGTGAAGTTAACACGGAATTTTCGGTTTCCAAGATATATGATCCGAATAAATCGGTTTTCGACTCCGATTTACTGTACATGCATAATTTTCCAAATTCTCTATATACCCGGAATTGGAATCCTAAATTTTGTTTGAAAAGCATAAATTACTATAGTACGGAAATTTCCAATGCAAACCAACCTGGACAGGTGCCGCTATCCTAAACAGCAGCTCAAACTTTGCTCAAAAAACACCCCTTCCGCTATGTCAAGGATACGAATTTTTATTTTTATTTTTATCATTATTATTTTTATT